GTTATGTCAAGGACTACCTGTATTTTATTAGCAGATCCATCAAGATTAGAAACCAGTTAAGAGAAGATTGAAAAGAGATGTCAACTCGACACTTTGAATGCAGAAGGGGGAGACCGAAGCAGAGGTTACAGCTTTATGAGAAGTTCTGTGGTCTAGGCTTAGCATTCTCAATCAATTAACATCCTTTGATACTATCCCAATGATCATTTAAGTCGCTACCACCAACAGCTACAATGTTATGGAAATTAGTAGCTGTCTGGGTCGATTTTTAAAAGTGATTTTCACAAGCGTGTTTCCTGACAATTAATGGCAGCATTGATAACAGTTTCCCCTGATCGTTAAGACTTTGCAGTGTTGCAATTTCCCAAGGCAAAGTGCCCGAATTGGATTCCCAGCACCCATCCGGATCAAGAGACTCAGAAGGAAAACAAGAGCAATTAACTCAAAGTAAAAAAAAAAGTAATTCGTTTACTTACTTCGTCCTGTGTGGAAAAGATTCCATAGGGCAGGTTTTGAATGGGGAAATGAGAATTCTCGTCCACTGTAATAAAAGACATGCTGCTTTGATCTTTCATGCACAAAGAGAAAGAAATTCCCAGATGTTGCTTGGGTTGCTACACTCACAGTGGGCCCCTCCTTTTTCAATGTGAAACAGCCAATCCGCTTCGTCTCTTCTATCCCTCCCTCGCTGAATTTGCAGTCTGCAAAACCAGGAAGTTAAACAGTACCAGATCTGCACATGATGCAACATCTGCAGCCTCCAAATTTCTGCCACAACTTTCTTCAGTGGATTCAAGCCAAAAAAGCCAACACAGTGCTGGGCTGCATTAACAAGAGGGATAGAATCAATTTCACGTGAAGTATTAATACTACTTTACAATGCCTTGGTAAGGCCACACTTGGAATACTACATCCAGTTTTGGTCAACACGATGTAAAAAAGATGCTGAGACTCTAGAAAGAGTACAGAGAAGAGCAACAAGGATGATTAGGGGACTGGAGGCTAAAACATATAAGGAACGGTTGCTGGAATTGAGTATGTCTAGTTTAATGAAGAGAAGGACGAGGGGGGATATGATAGCAGTCTTTCAATATCTCAGGGGTTATCACAAAGAAGAGGGAGTCAAGCTATTGTCCAAAGCACCTGAAGGCAGGACAAGAAGCAACGGATGGAAACTAATCAAGGAGAGAAACAACCTAGAACTAAGGAGAAACTTCCTGACAGTTAGAACAATTAACCAGTGGAACAACCTGCCTCCAGAAGCGGTGAATGCTCCAAAACTGGAAGTTTTTAAGAAGAGACTGGACAGCCATTTGTCTGAAATGGTATAGGGTTTCCTGCCTGAGCAGGGGGTTGGACTCGATGACCTCCAAGCTCCCTTCCAACTTTATTATTATTATTATAAAAGCGGACGAGAATTCCCATTTCCCCATTCAAAACCTGCCCTATGGAATCTTTTCCACACAGGACGAGGTAAGTAAACAAATTACTTTTTTTACTTTGAGGTAATCTATCTTGAGATCAAAAGCAAGAATTTGTGATGGCTGAGAGATGCCTCCAGCCCCGAATTGCTGTATTAGTGAGATGGGCAGTGTAGAAATTTAATAATAAATCCTTCCCCGCCCTCCCCACTTCAAACCATCAAGAAACTTTTGTCTTAAGATTCTTACTTTTTGTAATGCTACATTATAAAAAGTTTGAAACTGGCATGGTACTTTTCAGATTTTCTGACCGAAACAACTCCATTTGAAAGATGGTTAAATGTTGTCAGGCAGAGTTCTCGCAATCTTCCATGTGCGGACACTAGGTTCTTTTGAAACTATGGGTTGTTTTTTTTTTAAATGTCCACAGATGAATTCATTAATGTGTAATTGACCTTTCATTCAGGTCACCTTCAGAAAAAAACCCAATCTGGATCTAGAGGAGGAAAAACTCTTGTAGATCAGGAATCTATTCTTTTCCTAGGCAAGACCCTTGAGCCAGGAGCAGCCAATCAACTCCAGGTTGGTTGGAAGAAACTGATTTTCTTGATCAATTTCAATCTGTGTTCAGGCCGTTATGGAACAGAAAAATGTCACTCTAGGGATGACTTGTGCCAGCAAAAGTGAGAGTGTGACTCTGTTGATTCCTTTGGACTTTTCAGCGGTTTCAGTAACTTCAACCCCCAGATCCTTCTAAGTAGGTTCTAGGATTTGTAACGGGGTATACTCTTACTCCAAACTTTCTTCTCCTACTTGGAATACTCATTTCCAGGAAGTGGGTTATAACTACTATGCTTCCTGGTGGTTGGACTATGGGGTCCCTCAAGGCTCCATGTTGTCCTCTATGTTTTTCAGTATCTCTTTTTCATCTAATGCAGGTTAGCTAGTTGACCTTCAGAGCCAGGGCTTGGTAGTGTAATGGACTGAATGATGGCTAATAAACCAGACTCAACCCACTGTTTCTAGAGGATGCATCAGCCCAGCTGAGTGATGGCCCATCATCCTGGAGGGATGGCTTGCTCTAAAGATGAAGGTTTACAACTTGGAGGTGCTTTTGCTTGGAGGGGCGCTTACCAAAGGCCAGGTGACCTCGGAGGACATAGAATGAAATTTGGCTGATGGTATTTTCTAATCTCAGGGCTCTTCGGCTAATGTATGGTTTAACATTTCAAATAAAGAACGCAAAGCCATTAATAAAAACTTTACAAACAAGAAATAGTTTGGCTCACTCGGCCTAACCAAAGACAGAAACAAACCAACAAGACAATGACTTGCTGTGATATGCAACTTTTTTTTCCCCTGTACATGCAGATTGCTTCCCTTGTGGCATATTATATAGGATCCTCGCAGATTGGGTTGGTTAGAAAGGCTGCTAATGAACAAACCACATTTTTGCAACCTATAACTGAATACACACAGAGTCATAGGCAAGTAGTCAATCCTCTGTAATTCTCGAATCCCTGTTAAGGCAAAGGACTATAATTTCCTTACAAATATGCATTTCTAGAAAGAGAACAAAGCAAAGCTTCATAATTCATTCCTTACAAGAAGTCCTTATGCAATTGGATTCCCTTTACTACAAACAAGTTCAAATTCAACAAAAGCATTTACGATCTGGGTCAATTGTTATAGAATACAGGCAGTCCTCGACTTACGACAATTGAGCCCAAATTTCCCGTTGTTAAGCGAGACATATGTTCAGTGAGTTCTGCCCCACAGTTGTGAAGAGAATCGCTGCAGTTGTTAAGTTAGTAACCCGGTTGTTAAGTGAATCTGGATTCCCCCATGGACTTGGCTTGTCGATCACATGACTTGGGAAACAGCAACAGTCACAAACACGAACCAGAGGCCCAAGCATCTGAATTTTGATCACCTGATTGTGGGGATGCTGCAAAGGTCGTAAACTGGGAAAATCGGTCCTAAGTCACATTTTTTTCAGTGCTGTTATAACTTTGAACGGTCACTAAACAAACCGTTGTTAAGTCGAGGAAGGCCTGCATAAAGAAAGCAACATGCGTTGATGTTGCAAATCCAGAACGTTTTTAACTATCTGAAAAGATGCCCACAGAATAATGGAACAAACTTGTTTTAATTCCAGAAGACACACCTGGGTGAACATCACTAGACGGCAACTCTTTGCGAAAAAGCTTGGAAGATATTCCCCAGTGTTATCAGGTGTTCAGCACTGACTTTTCTTCACCAGAAATAAAACGCACTGGACTTCGGGACTTTGCATTCAACGACTTGTATTCGGGAAGATTTGCATTCAACGACTTCAAAGCTCCAGGGAGAAAAATCGGGAGAATTCTGTGTTTGTCTTTCAGGCAGAAAAATCAAAAAGACATTTCTTTCCAGAGCTGAGACAAAACCAGGAAAAGAGGCTGAAGTCAGAATAAATTAAATCCGCACCTATTCCCATATGCTCTTTCATGGCAGAAAAGCAACTGTGAAAAGAAAAAAAATAAGGATACCATTGGATAGAAATGGGAAAGCCTGGGAAAAAACTGAAAAAAATGGGGAAGAAACAGGGGTTTTTTTCTGTTTTTTTCCAAAGGGCTTTGAAAACAAACAAACAAACAAAACCCCAAAAAGAACCGTTTCCCCATTTTTCCGTTGTTTTTTTTCCCCAGGCCTTCCCATCTCTACCTCTGGATAACCCGAAGCGAATAGTTGCACCAAAGTTGTAAAAGGTTGCACACACACTGTCCAGTGCTCTCGTCCTTCCTATTAACCACGTTAGTTTTAAGCTCACATTTCAACTCACAGGTACTCCTTGGCTTATGACCACAACTGAGCCCACTATTTTTGTTGCTAAGTGAGACAGCGGAGTTTTGCCTCATTTTACCATTCTTCTTGCTGCAGTTGTTAAATGAATCACTGCAGTTGTTAAGTTAGTAAGGGAACCGGTCTTCCTCATTGACTTTTGCTTGTCAGGTCACAAAAAGTTATCACACGACTCCGGGACATTGTAACCGTCATAAATATGAACCAGTTGCCAAGCGTCCTAATTTTGATCACGTGACCATGATCGTAAGTGTGGAAAACAACTTTTTTCAGTACCATTGTAACTTCAGCCGCTAAATGAATTGTTGTGAGTTGAGGACTTCCTATATAGGTTTTTAATATAGTGAGAGGCTATTGGTTTCCAGGGTGAGGGCAGGTTATCATATCCATTCAAAATTCTCCCTTTTCTTTCTTTTATTCTCTGAAAAAAGGAAGTCAAGACTCGTCTTGTTAGACCGGAACTGTTTCAGGTTAACCGGTGTCTTTATGTCATCTGAATCCAGACTCACCTGGCTCAGTCCAATGTTTAAATGGGCTTTCCTCAAGGTGGAGTCAAGTCGATACCGATATTCCTAATCAAATCTAATTCGCTTTTCTTCCGTACAATGAACTGCATCAAATTGCTTCTCGTCACATCCTTTTTCCAAGCCCGAAGGAGATGCATGCACCCTTACTTCTTACGACAAGCCAAAGGCAGCAACTGCCACTCCTCCATCCCAATTTTTAAAAATTTTATTTTAATCAAAGTTAAAGACGTGGGTGAACATAAATACAATACACTTAAAAGTTCTTCATTCTTTGCACTGGTGCGCGTAAAAGACCCCATGAGCACAACTCCCCAGGAACTTTGCGAGCAAGCAAACTCTCAACATGCACGCTGGAGAAAACGAAAATAAAATAAAATAAAATAAAAGGGGGGGGGAGGAGAAAGGGAAAAAAAACCCTAGAAAATAACCTTGAAGAGAAAAAAAAAAAATCACGCACGCTTTAAAATCTCAGCACTCTCTGACACGCTCGAACAGATGCATACATAAATAGATAGTGGGTGCATACAAGCTATTATGATAAACATGTGTATAAATTTTTGTTAAGGGGGAGGGGAAACCAAGCAGCCTTAATGATTAAATACATTCAGTTATTGATTGCTAGTTGTGCCATACAAGGCATTATCGAAGAGGAAAAAGATGGGGGAAATTGTGCTGCAGAGAGAAAAAAAAGAAACGCTATATACAAAATGAACAGAAGTGTCTTGGGTTAATGCATGCACGTTTTTAGTATGACAAGCGGGAAAAGCACGGATGCCTTCCAACGTAACTTGGAGAAAGCCCTCTGTACTCGATGTTTTGTTGTTTGTTTGTTTGTTTGTTTTAAAAAAAGATGATAATACTTTTATAGCCATGGTATCCGTTCCTCAGTTCCCACAGGCCCACCTTCCTAGTGGACTCAGTTGTGTAGAGTTTATTTTCTTCATCTGTAGGAACTAAAAACAAAGCACCCTGAAAAGAAAGGAAGTGGTTTGTCGTGTGCTAAAAGAAGGAGGGGGAAAAAAAATTCTATGCATGCTTTTGGACACTTGTCCTCTGTGTTCTTGAAGTCTACGAGGGCCCGGAAAAAAAAATATGAAAGGCTTATGTGTGTGTGGGTTTGTGAAAGGGGAAGGAAAAAGCTCAAGTCAATTTTCATCTGCAGGTGGGTCAAACATTTTAATATTCCAGCTACAGGAGCAGTTCAAATCTTCTGAATCTTTTCCCCGACAACTACAGGATTCTCTTTTCTGATCTTCTCAGCTGCGTCAGCTTTGTAATTGTAAGAGCAACTGTGGACATCTGAGTAACGGTGTACAGCACAGTAAACGTTTCCACATCTGCACTCAAACCCTGGAAAGAAAGAAGAAAAGATGAAATGTCCGGTCTCTGGAAAGCAAAAGGTCTGGAGTTCCCAAAGCTGCTTTTCCAAAAGGCAACTGGACTTTCTTGATTTTTTTTCTTCCTTGAAAACGTTTCGCTTCTCATCCAAGAAGTTTCTTCAGTTCAGTTCAGAAGCTCCAGAACTGAAGAAGCTTCTTGGATGAGAAGCGAAACGTTTTCAACGAAAAAACACCAAGAAAATCCAGGTGCTTTTTGGAAAAACTCCTTTGGGACAACCATGACCTGGATGACTGAAAACTTCCAGGAGAACATAACACAATGTAGTATTTAAATGTTACTGTATAAGAAATATAGATCAATCTCTTGGTCACAGATTGGGCCTATGGCCTAGTGGGATCCTTACATTTCACGTGTGGTTAGAAGCCCCAAATTGCATATAATACGACTCTTTCTCTGAACTAACTGAGAACTACATACAGAGATCTGACTGGGGTAAATTCAGGGGTGACATAAGTAAGATCTGAACTTTTTTCTTTTAGTTACGCCTTTTACTGTATTGTCTAATACATAGTTTTATTATTGTAGTACATTTTGTGTTTTTTTTATTCTGATACAGCTTATTGGCTAATCCAGGGGTAGGCAACCTTGGCTCTTTTATGACTCGTGGACTTCAACTCCCAGAATTCCTGAGCCAGTCATGAGGGGAAAGGGAGAGGTTTCCAAACTGAGCCATGCTGGCTCAGGAATTCTGGGAGTTTTGAAGTCCACGAGTCATAAAAGGGCCAAGTTTGAAGACCCCTGGTTTAAATATTTAAATATTTTTTCCTCACGATCACGTGATCAAAATTCAGGCATTTGGGCAAGGGTAGGCACCCTTGGCCCCTTCATGACTGGTAGAGTTCAACTCCCAGAATTCCTGAGCCAGCATGGCTCAGCTTGGAAACCTCTCCCTTTCCCCTCAGCATGGCTGGCTCGGGAATTCTGGGAGTTGAAGTCCACGAGTCATAAAAGAGCCAAGCTTGCCTACCCCTGGGTTAATCAGTCAATTACTGTTCTGTGAACTGTCAGCCCTGCTTTAGACTCATTGTTCAGTTCGGGGGACTGAATGCAAGAGAACTTACCAGTAAGACCAACCTTCTTTCTGCACATAAAACATCGAGTTTTTTTCTGTTTGGGTTTGTCAAACGATTTGCCTTGTTCTTCGGAGGAAGGTTCTGCACCATCTGAAGCTGAAGCTAAAGAGAAAAGATGGAGAAAGATCAGGATACAGCCAGAACATTGGAAGCCAACTCGGCACAGTTCAAATCCACACAGCCTTGGGGTTTTTAACTCCAAGAAATTGACCTTGGATCTTCTGCCATTCCATCATCACCATCTACTCCATTTTCTCTACGAGCAACTCAAAATCCTGTTTAGAATTGGAAAGGATCAGAAGCACCGTCTAATAGTTTAATCCTCTGTAATGTGCAAGGAAATCAGTTCAATCTTTTGTGAATAGAGGCTGCCTAGTCTCTTCAGAATACACTCCAGAGATGAAGGCCGCCCAGCCTCTTGCTGGTCCCGGGACATTGTAAAGTAAAGGTAACATTGAGAATGAAGAATTGAAGCTGCAACTTTATGCTGCTCTGGTGAAAAGTGGCTGTAGAGGAATGACTCAATACCAACCTTTTCAGATTAAGCCAGTCATCAACACAAATCCTTGTTTTGCTACCCGAATCCAAAGAAGGAACCCAAATACAAAACAGGAGCAGGCAGTGTGTAACCCGCAAGTGAAAAAAAACTATAGGTATTTTCAGCATTGGCTGCTGGCAAAAGTTGCAAAGCTATCTTCATAAAAAAAACTTTCCTTCTCACTACAAGGGTTTGTGAATGTAGCACCCAGTTCTTTGGGATAAGAGACCATCTCCAAAATCATTGGGGCCCTATTTTCCATAAATACAAGGGAACATATCCACGACATTGCCGGAAAAAATATTCATTACCCTCTTCCGTTCATAGTCTACCTTGCTATTATGCAGGAGAAACTCAAGGTAGCTGTTCAAAATGAAACATAACTTCTTCTCTCTTTTTTGGGGGTGGGGTGGGGTGAAAACAACAACTGAAATTATTAGAACAAATTAAAAGGTCTAATTTTTTTGTATTTCCAAATAACTGACAGAAGGCTCTGTGGACTTCAAAGTCCCTCTGAGATTGCTCTTTCCATTTTTTACCCCCTTCTTCCTTTCTTGCAGTTGTTTAAGACACTCGTTTCATCCTGTAGAGATTCTTGACATCTGTTCTCACATCGCCCTCACTTCTGAAGGATAAACAAAGTCCAACCCAACCCCACCCCAAGGTGACCCATCGTATTTTCTCTTGACTGCTCACATAATGGGATGCAGGAGAGGATTCCAGGAAAGTACGGTTCCAACATTGATTCATACAGTTATACCCAAACCAGCCATTCCAGACAAGTGGACGTGGTATGCAAAGGAGCTAAGAATTAACTGACATGGCAACTCGTTGACTGCTTGGTCGGAAACCCTGTATTCAACAAGCTAATCATACCAATGATTACTAAACAACATAGAGACAAAAGTGACCAGGTTTGCACACGATGGATCAGTCTATCGTGTGGATCCAGGCTGTAAATCATTCTACCAGAGAGTAAAGGAATATTAAAGCACCAGAATAAGAAAAGGTTCCAGAGGAACTAACACATGCAGAAAAATAATCCTATTGACTAGTTTCGATATAATAAGTTACAATAGCCTGTTGACCATCTCAATACAATAGACCAGGAGTGTCAAACTACCGGCCCACGGGCCGCTTGCATCATACGGAGGCCGCGCCCACCCCAGCTCCAGCAATGCCAAAAAAGTCACGATAGGTCGCGACACGTCACGTGACGAGCTTGACCCCCGTGCAATAGACTAATGGGAGTCTCGTAATCAGATTCTGCAAGTGACAGGCATGGGTACAGTAACTTCTTGACCAACAGAGGAAAACAAAAATTGATTTCATAGATGTATAAAAAGAGCTTCGGGTTAGCCCAGGTAATGGTAAATAACACTCATGACATTTGAGTCCGAAGAAAAGACGTATAGAATGAGTGCAAAGCAAGGGGGGGTGAGCATTTAAAGAAAAACACACCCAAAACAAAACCCTTTATAACAGAGAAAGCTCTGTAACTCACATACTTAACTTCCAGAAGGCTCCCGATTCAACCTGAATTAAAAGGGATGAGATGATAGACCTTTGCCCTGGATTTAGCAGTAAGGTGAATGTTCCACTGCCTAAAGGATCTGCTATGTTTGCAAGATTCCTGCTTGGAGAAAAAATGTGCACTGGACAATCCCAATCCTGATTATTCCTTCCCTGCCTGATCCCTTGCTGGGTGACCAAACTGGAGACCTTTGAAGCATTGTGAATTGCAGAATGGAAGACAGCTCTCCACAAAAACAAGATGCAATGTCATAATGGCACACAAATACTTGGTTACATTATCCTACAGTCCCCTGAATGCTGATCAGTGACCCCAGTGCTCCTTATGTGATCATAAAATTAATTCTCCAATGTACGTCTTGAATTATGACAAGAGGAGATAGCGGCTTTCTCACACACTCATAGTCCTACAACAACGCAAACATCTTAGTTGACAATGAAAGGCTGTGTAAAAATAAGCGTTCATTTAAGGTCAGGATTATGGTTAATTTTGCCTGTAACACTTTTGTTCTTTACGAAACTGCATGAAGTTGAAAGGCTGCAAGTAGAAACATGAAAAAAAAGAGATTAGAGTAGAATTATGACACGGGGAATATACAAGCAACAGTGCGGAAAAGGTGAAAAAATTGGCACATGTTGATTGGCACCACATAATTCAAGACAGCCATTAGTAAACTACACAGTGCATGCAAGAATAAAATGACAACAGAAGCACATTAGGAAGACATTTGCAAGCAGAGAAGCAAAAGAGGCAAAAGAGGTGGAACAGAAAAAAAAAAGATGAGATAAAATGTTTTAGTCTGATACCACTTGATAAGAATGGGCACCACTTATATAGTTTATCCTTTCTGATTTTCCCCAATTGACTCCAATAAACTTAACAATCAAAGGCTTTCTGCCTTGATGTGAGAGGAGAGTCCATGATCTCCACTCTCAACAGTGAGATACTCCTGAGCTCCATTTTATCAAATGTATCAACCAGGGTTTCCCAAACATGTGAAATCTGGGGCACAACTACTCCATCCAACCCCTCCAGATGGAACAGGATAGTCATTTTAATGACAATTCGGTGGACATTTTCTTCAGCAGCTCTAGAATATGAGTGTGCAATTAAACCCTCTTCCAAAATGGTGCCGTTTTTAAGGGAAGAGAAAATTGTGAGCGATGTAGGGAGTAATCAAAGCCAAGATAACGTTTCTTTTGCGTTCAGCCCAACTCTTGAAGCCTGAGTGGATAATCAATTTTGTTATTTTGCCAATGATATAGAGAAGTATCATGACCGGAAGAATTATTGACGTCCTAGTCGTGCTGAAATGGCGTGGTGGCTCAGTGGTTAAGACGCTGGATGGTGGCTGGAGCCCGGCAGTCCAGGTTCGAGACCCAGGGACAAATGACGGGGTGAGTTCCTGTCCTCACCCCAGCTCTTGCCAACCTAGCTGTTCAAAAGCATGCAAATGTTGAGTAGATAAATAGGTACCACTTTGGTGGGAAGGTATCAGTGCTCCATGACATCATGACCATGATCCATGATCACATGACCACAGAAATGTCTTCGGACAGCGCTGGCTCAATGGCCTTGAAACAGAGAGGAACACTGCCCTCTTATAGTCGGCAACAACTAGCAGAGCAACAGTTAACTGTATTTAATTTTAATTAAGTTTAAACTAAATTACGTTTAGTTTTAGCCTGAACCTGTCTACTTTTTGGAACAGGTCCTCCAGAGTGCTTCTTGAAGGCCAACTCTGCTAATGGAAACTCTTCTCTGGTAAAGTTTAAAAGCCACATTTAAACAACAATCCTGTTCTCAAGAATTCAGAGGAGGGATAACCTAGTGACGTTGTTTGAGGGAGGGGAGAAGCTAACATTTTGGGTAGACACTTTCCCATGGGAGGGGGAACATAATAATAATAATAATAATAATAATAATAATAATAATAATAATAATAATAATAATAATCATCATCATCATCATCATCATCATCATCATCATCATCATCATCATCATCATCATGTTGGAAGGGACCTTGGGGTTCATCTAGTCCAGGCATGTCAAACTCGCGACGTCGTTGACGTCGCGCGACGTAGCGGAGCTTTTTCACCATTGCCGGCAATGGGGTGGCCGTGGCTCCGGTATGATGAAACCGGCCCGCGGGCCAGCAGTTTAACACCCCTGATCTTGTCCAACCCACTGCTCAGGCAGGAAACCCTATACCATTTCAGACAAATGGCCGTCCAGTCTCTTCTTAAAAACTTCCAGTGTTGGAGTATTCACCGCTTCTGGAGGCAGGTGGTTCCACTGGTTAATTGTTCTAACTGTCAGGAAGTTTCTCCTTAGTTCTAGGTTGCTTCTCTCCTTGATTGGTTTCCATCCGTTGCTTCTTGTCCTGCCTTTAGGCGCTTTGGAGAATAGCTTGACTCCCTCTTCTTTGGGGCAGCCCCTGAGATACTGGAAGGCTGCTATCATGTCCCCCCTCGTCCTTCTCTTCATTAAACTAGACATACCCAATTCCAGCAACCGTTCCTTATATCTGAAGACCTTACTATTTTATTGAATACAACTTCATGGAACCATTTAAGGCAAGAGGGAGAGATAAGCCTCTAATAGAGATTGGAAACTTATTTTAACCTCTGCTTTACTGAAAGAGCTCAACAAAATGCACCACTCAAAAATTAAGACTTTGCTGCTGGATTTTGTTATCGATGTGAAACATCTGGGGAGGAGGAGGACACAAAAATGGGGGGGGCCTGGAACAAGATTTCCAGACACACTTCAACCATTTTTTTGTGACCAATTAGTGCAACCCAGCACACTGTTTGGGAAGCATGGTTAGAGCCTGCAAACTTAACAAGGAAACCCACTTACCTACTGTGGTTAGTGTTAAATCTGAATCACAGCTTCTCGTTTTGGCTCTCGAGTTCTCCTCCAGGAAATCAGGGCCATCTACATTATTGTCTAGGTTCACGTCATAATCGCATTCTGTCTCTGAGCCCCTGGTAGTGTCAGGTAAATCTGAGTTATCCATCGAAAATTCGTCTCCGGTACTGTCTATTGAAATTGTCTCAGCAAGATCCACTGACGTTGGTTCTATTTGTTCAACGGGATATGTATTTTAGGTATGTGTTTGTGTTATGTTTTTTTTTTTTTTTCTTCAGATTAAAAAAAACATGCTACATGCACAGTTTTAAAAAAACAATGTGTTTATTGTTAACACCCCAGCCCCGAAATAATTGGATTCAAGGTCTGTGAAAGATAAAGTTAATTAGTTCTAGAGAGACATCAGATAACATGGTAGGTAAACTGGTAGTAAGGGTGGACTGTTTAGCAATGGGATGCAATTTTAGCCCTGCTGTGGTTAGAAAGAAGATAATAATAGTATTTATAACATGGAAGAAAAGTTCATCCAAAGGTTTTATCCCCCTACGTAGTCATATTTTTCCGTAACGCTCCACCCATCCTTAACTCTCCATGTCTTTTTCTACCATGTTTATCAATTGCCCAATCTAGCTTACAAACCTAAGATTTTCTGGCTGTCCTATCCAAGAATTGTTCAGATCTGACTCTGTTGGTCAATGTTTTAAATTAACAGACATTTGCCAAATGGTTCCATGTAGCAAATACTCCACACTCTGTCCATCGCTTCGTTTGGCTGGCTACAGACACTGTTTGCTGCCTAAATGAATACACACATCCTTTCATAAGGACCCAAGGTGTGACAGAGAAAGCTGTCTATCAAAGATGTCTCTCTCTCTCTGCCTGTCATATGTATGATGACATTCCTGTATCAGCTGTTCCCTACAGATGTTGGGAAGCCTCTAATTCACATATTTCCCTTCCCCCCTTTTCTTATTGGCACAGGGAAACATTGGTTCATTTGAGACAGGGAAAAAAGTGATGGCTTCCTTTTTGCATTACCAAACCTTCTTACTATACATGTGAATATCCCACCCAATGGGAAGGTGGAGAGCTGGACTAGAAGACCTCCAAGGTCCCTTCCAGCTCTATTCTATTTTATTATTCTATTCTATTACATTCCATTCCATTCCATTCCACAATCTGCCCTATTCTATTATATTCGCTCCAAGCATTCCAGTTTCCATGAATTATGAACATTTGAACTGAAAATAAAATTCTATATCAACAGTTTACCTCTGTTTTACATCTCGTCACATCATGCTCATCATACTACAGGAGATAGGCTTGGCTGGAGCCCACAAACATCAAATGAAACTCTAAGAGTTCTTATCACATAGCTACATTGTCAGAAGTGGAGGCGGGGGGAGAACAGTGTCTGTCTATCTGTCTATCTATCTATCTGTCTGTCCGTCCGTCCATCCATCCGTCCATATCTGTCCCTATATCTTTCTCTCTCAACTATCTTTATCCATCCATCCATCCATCCATCCATCCATCTATCATTTATATTTATAACTCAGCTTTTACAAAGGAAAACTCAAGAACGAAACCAAGAAGAACCTTAGGGAAACACACATGCTAATAAAAATATTTTTAAAAAAGCATAAAAAGCTATAAAGTTATAAGAAGCAAGCCTTAAAAGGGATTTCTGCAATGAGGTTGCGTGGGAAGTGGTAGCATTTGTACTCTAAAAGTTAAATGACAAAAATAAAGGACATAAGTGAGCTTTTGAAAAGTAAACAAATCTAAAGGACAGCTTTCTGAAATAAAGGACTCTCCTTTGTAATAAAGACCTAGAGTCACCATATTTCTAAGCAACAGAAGAATGAAAACTGGAGCCCTACCGACTCTAGGCCACCAACCCCTGATCAGAAGTAGTTGTCCAACTACTAACTTTGGCAAAATCTAAACATTTAGTCAACGAAGCCTGTTCATTCAAATTCTTTCCTTCTTTCCTTTTCTTTCTTTCTTTCTTTCTTTCTTTCTTTCTTTCTTTCTTTCTTTCTTTCTTTCTTTCTCTTTCTTTCTTTCTTTCTTTCTTTCTTCTTTCCTTCCTTCCTTCCTTCCTTCCTTCCTTCCTTCTTTACAAATAACTCAAGGCAGCAAATATATCCAACACATCTTCCTCCTCCTATTTTGCCCACAATGACACAACCTCTGTGAAACTGGTTGGGCTGAGAGAGAATGATTAATCAAAAGCCACCCGGCTGACTTTCACGGCTAAGGCGAGACTAGAACTCATGATTTCTCGCTTTCTAGCCCCTAATGCTTTAACCACTAGACCAGGGGTCGGCAACCTTAGCTCTTTTATGACCCGTGAACTTCAACTCCCAGAATTCCTGAGCTAGCCATGCTGAGGGGAAAGAGAGAGGTTTCCAAGCTGAGCCATGCTGGCTCAGGAATTCTGGGAGTTGAAGTCCACAAGTCATGAGGGGGCCATAGTTCCCCCATGCTGGCTCAGGAATTCTGGGAGTTGAAGTCCATGAGTCATAAAAGAGCCAAGGTTGCCTACCCCCGCACTAGACCAAACTGGTTCAAATGCTGCAAATTAATTTGGTTATTGTAACTCTATAGATAATCAGTGCCACATTCGGTGCCAACAGAGAATTACCCAGGGGGGAAAAAACACACACACACTAAAAACAACCCAGATCCAATAACAGGACTAAAATCAGAAGGAGGCTCAAATGCTCTTTAGTGCAGAGTGCTATTATGGCAATTCCAGAAGGACGTTCCTTACGACGACTCCGCGTCAATCTGCAGTCCTGCACACCTCCCTTCAGTTCTGCTGGCGGCAGCTTTTGAACAAGCCAGCATTGCAGAATGGTCAATAACCAGTCCTAAGGCAAGTGAACAAATTTTTGCCTTTTCTTGCCTTTGGACAAAGTGTGCAACTGAATGAGGAAGGAACCCAAGTCCCCAAATGAAAACAGAAGCCAAGGGCATTCCGAGGCCCCTCGTGCTAACCTTGTACATCTTCTCCTTGGAGCCCGGGTTTATCCATGATGTCTGTGCTTTCCACTTCACATGTTGCCACAGATTCTGCTAAAAGGGACGAGGGGCTGGATACGGGACTGGGAGAGAAGAAAAGGTCGCTTTAGCAAGTGCATCCATGTTCCGCTAAGTAGGAAAACACCCAGGGGAATCTTCTAAGATCTAGCAGTTCAACGATTTATTAAAAGGGGGAAGGGGGTGGGGTGGGAGGGTGAGGTTAGGCATCACAGAGACTGGAGCTCAAACCCCTGCTCAACTCTGGAGTTCATCAAGCCAGCTACTGCTTCGGCCTAGCTTCCTTCATCGAAGGTTGTGATTGTGAAGACTCAAGGAGGAGGACAAGAGCCCCTGCCTTCAGGATTGCCAGACAGAAGAATAGCAGAATCACCAAAATGGGGCAGAAAGAAGACAGTGCCTGTATCAAAAGCCAAGCAATGCAAGACAAATCACCTGGGCACCACTTGGGTCTACAGGAGTCCTGGTGGTGCAGTGGTTGGAATGCAGCTATTCCAGGCTAAATCTGCCCGCAGCCTGGAGTTCGATTCTGATCGAATCAAGGTTGACAGCCTTCCATCCTTCTGAGGATGGTTAAATGGGGACTCAGATTGTTGGGGGACAATATGCTGACATTGTAAACCAGCCAGAGAGTGCTGTAAAGCACTATGGAGTGGTATATAAGACTAGATATTAGATTAGATTACATTAGATTAGATTACATTAGATTAGATTAGATTACCTTTATTGTCATTTTTTTTACTGTGGGCACAACGGCACACATTAAAAATGAAATTTAGCTGCTTGCTCTCAAAGTGTAACACATACATAACAAACCTTTAAACATCCTATATACAACATATGTATAGACCTACACCCTTTACATGTAAGCAACATAACTATTAATCACTAAGTGTTAGTACTATTGCTACAGCGCATATTAAAAGGATATAAAGAAAACTGACATATCAACTACAAAGATTTTTAGGTGCAAAGCTTCAGCTTATCCTTCCCAGGATCCAGTGGATTGCTTGGGCAAAAACATCCAGAGTTGGACGGCTTGTAAATTTGGTACATTATTTATTAAAGAAGAAACAGATCTGGCCACGTCCCCAGAGAGAGACTGTGCTCGTGCTTGTGCATATTTTTTTTATCACTAGATTTATATCCTGCCTTTTATTTTATACAGCCCAAGGTGGTGTACCTAATACTTATCCTTCCTTCCTCATTTCCCTATAAACTCCCTGTAAGTTGGGCTAGGTTGATTGGTCTAAAGTCACCCAGCTAGCTTTCGTGCCTAAGGGAGGCCTACAAGCCATGGTCTCCCAGTTACTATCCAGCACCTTAATTCCTACACCAAACTGACTTTGCAATTAAGTTCAAAGCATTACACTGCCCAATTGCTTAGTCCTTATTAAACATTATGGGCAGGTAGAGTAAGAACCACCCCAATCCTGCTTTAATAAAACTCCTATGTTAATAATATTTACTTATCTGATTTCTATAGCCATCCATCTCAACAAGCGATTCTGGACAGCAGACATCCTAAAATTATATAGACAAGTAGAGTCTGTCACAGGGGTCTTCAAACCTGGCCCTTTTATGACTTGTGGACTTCAACTCCCAGAGTTCCTCAGCCAGCGGGCCTGGCTGAGGAATTCTGGAAGTTGAAGTCCACAAGTCATAAAAGGGCCAAGTTTGAAGACCCCTGGTCTATCGGGATCAGTTAATAAACAGGAAGATCATCCTGGGCCATGTAGTTTGCAAATCGGACTGCCAATGAAAAACATTCAACCAATTTCTACTGGCACTAGAGAAACGTTACCTTAGTTGTGTAGCTGGTACAAGTGTAGAATCTAGAGTTGAAGGGACGTCCTGAATGCTGCCGTCAGTGCATTGAACTGGTAAAGATTCAGTTAGGCTATTAACTGAAGTTGCTAGAAAAAGAGACACCCGTGTCAAAACAGCCTTTATGTCAAGATTCTGCACACCGTCAACATTATCTATCTCCTTGGGGTTGGTGGAGTGGCTTGCAAAGGTTTCAAACTGTAGTAGACCGGCCAACGTTACCCATTCCAAATTCATCAAATTAAGATGCCAATATTTTTTGTCGAGACAAATCTATTCTGATTAGCAGCAAGTCAACCTAGACTGCCTTTCAAAGATGTAGCTAGAAGGTTCAAGAGTTTGTTTGTTTGGCTTTTGGGAAGAGAGAAAGTTCCTAACCTGGAGGAGAGGAAGGTCAGCCATAGGCCCCCGCAATTTGTCTTGACAAAAAGCAAATTGCTGAAAGACACAGACTCCTATGTTGTTGTTAGCTTAACCAACAACACAGAACTTGGCAAGCAAACTACCCCTGTAATGAGAACATCTGCAATTCTGTGTTTCAGTGTTGACTCCACTGCAGTTCTTAACAGAGTGTCACCTGCTTTTCCTTTCCTCCTCCAAGTTATTTATGCCTCCCTTTTCCAACTAAGTTGTGCAAGCTTCTGCTGACAAAGGCACATTGATCAGAGTTGGGTAACATAAACAAGCCACCAAAATCAGGCTTTAATTATACTGAAAAGGCCGTGGTAATATGATTTGCACAGAATGCTACATTTAAGGCTGAATCATATCCTAAATGTAAGAGTGGAGGACCCACACAATTAATCATGGTTGCAGATTCTCTTCCTCCTCGCCATCCTTTCTGATAAAAGTCTCGTTTTCTACATACAGCGAAGTGAAAACCCCCACCAGCCCCAGGATATATCAGGCAGCCAAAAATGGGTGAGATGTTGCCCTCTCTTCATTTACAGAAGCTAACTAGACAGAAACTGAATCTAGAAAGACTGCAGAGAAAAGCAACAAAGATGATTAGAGGACTGGAGGCCAAAGCATATAAGGAAAGGCTGCTGGAATTGGGAATGTCTAGTTTAATGAAGAGAAGGATGAGGGGTGACATGATAGCATCTTCCAATATTTGAGGGGGCTGCCACAAAGAAGAGGGAGTCAAGCTATTTTCCAAGGTGCCTGAAGGCAGGATAAGAAGCAACGGATGGAAACTAACCAAGGAGAGAAGCAACCTAGAACTTTCCTGACAGTTAGAACAATTAACCAGTGGAACAACCTGTCTCCAGAAGCCGTGAGTGCTCCAACATTGGAAGTTTTTAAGAAGAGATTGGACAGCCATTTGTCTGAAATGGTATAGGGTTTCCTGCCTGAGCAGGGGGTTGGACTAGATGACCTCCAAGGTCCCTTCCAACTGTATTATTATTATTATTATTATTATTATTATTATTATTATTATTATTATTATTATTATTATTATTAGTGCTTCAACTCTGCTCACAGAGTAATGGCAACAGACTAGTCCAGGGGTAGGCAACTTTGGCTCTTTTATGACGTGTGGACTTCAGCTCCCAGAATTCCTGAGTCAGCATGGCTGGTTCAGGAATTCTGGGTATTGAAGTCCACAAGTCATAAAAAAGCCAAGGTTGCCTACCCCTGGACTAGCAGAAGAGACATCTAAGAACCTAAGAGGGTCTGTATTCCACTTTGCCCCCAGATGTTGCCTCTAGGAAGGAAACAACACATGAATTCAAAGCTCTTTGTTGCATCACACTTACCTGAAGGGCTAATTCTACCATTACTACCGTTTTGCCGTTGAAGATGTTCTTTGTAGCATACTGAACACATGCCATTTGTACGAGGGTTTCCATAAAATCCGCATCCAGTGGAACATAGCATAGGTACTTGGCTATGATTAGTTTCTTGAGCCATAATCTTTTCTCGTGACCTGCGAAACAAGGGATAAACGATTTCATCAAATACAGATCAACCTCAGTCTTTTCAAACTGCTAAACAGAAGCCCATATAACCCAACTCTGTCCTTATTCAAGAAATTGGCCATATTTTTACCCCAAGAGGTTAGAATGACATGTTCCTTCCTTGGGAGACTGACAAAGTTTATACAACCAGCCTTGGCATGGATTAATAAACCAGGTGTTATCTGCCTCCAATTCTTCATCTAAAGGTAAAGCAAGCAAGATTACAGGGTATCTCTGAATCCCTTGTCTTACATATCAAAAGCATACCCTGAAGATCAACATTCTGAAACTGGAGTAACTGGTGCAAAACCAGTAAGAACCACAGAAGAAACGAGTTTCCACCTTACCAAATGTACCAAAACAGGAAGAAAGACCAGAGAAAAGAACGGAGTAACAGGAAAAACCAGATTCAGTACAAGTTCAACTAGCTCTTGATTTCTCCTAGCTGGAGGATGAATCTCGAGACTCATCAATCAGACTAATGACTCCAAAGACATCATCTGAACTTTCCAAGGTGTTAAAAGATTAGTTTCTTTCCATTCTTTCAAATTAAGCAGTAATTAAAAGTCAATCAAGAAACAGCTTCACTAACTAAAGATCAACTGAGTTCCTTAGATAGCAAAAGTACAATGGATTTGTTTATCCCAAAGGTGATTTTTCATGAGGCAACTGGACTTTCTTGTTTTTCTTTGAAGACATTTTGCTCCTCATCCCAGAAGGCCATGAATTGCAATTTCTACATGCCAAATATAAATTTTAACGCTGAGAGAAAGCACTCGTGCTTCCTTACTTTTTTTAAGCACTGATTTTCTTAAAGTAAATACAAGGGCAGCCACCCACATGCACAAAATCTCCCGTTTCCTTTTTAGCATCAAGGGGCGCTGTCACATCTGATTCAGTGACTGATAAACATGACTATTTTTACGCTTCTGTTATTAAAGCTGCTCTTTCCAAAACAACTAGCAATATTCCAGGGTTTCCACATGCATTGCAAAAGAATTCACTGTGCAGGAATTAAAAGCTCTGGTAGCAATGCACACCCGCTCGGCACAAAAAGGTTGACTTCAACTTTCCTGTATTTCTGTATATAGCCATGGTGGAGAACCTATGTCACGCGTGCCACAGATGGCATGCGTGCCACAGGTGGCACGCAGAGCCCTCTCTGTGGGCACGCGCACTATCACCCCATTCTTAGGCCTTCAGCTGGGTTTTATAAAACCTTTTCGCTTTAGGCTTCCGCCGTGTGCAAAAAAAAAAAGATTCAATCAATCAATTTCAACTTCTCGAGGGAAAAAAAAGATCTCGCAAAGTTGGAATTGATTGATTGAACTTTTTAGTCCCACCCAGTCTGCCGTTACCATCACAGCCATGCCCACCCAATGGGCCACACCCACCCAATGGGCCACACCCACCCAATGGGCTATGTCCACCCGGCACCCGACGATACGTAAGTGGGTTTTGGGTTGCAGTTTGGGCACTCAAGTCTCCATCACTGGTATATAGCATCTCCCCAAAACCAAGCTATCTGCGGGAACTATGGATGGCAAATGTCCTCAGCTTACGCCCACAACTAAGCCCAAAATTTCCGTTGCTAAGCAAAACATTTGTTAAGTGAATTTTGCCCCACTTTAATGACATTTCTTGCCACAGTGGTTAAGTGAATCACTGCAGTTGTTAAATTAGGAACAGGGTTGTTAAGAGAATTTGGCTTCACCCATTGACTTTGCTTGTCAGAAGACCATAAAAGGGGATCACGTGACCCGGGACACTGCAACCGTCGTATGTACAAGTCAGTTGCCAACTGTGCATATTTTGTTCACATGACTATGGGGATGCTGCAACGGTCGAAAGGGTGAAAAACAGGCGTAAGTCCCTTTTTTCAGCGCCATGGTAACTTTGAACGGTCCCTAAATGAACTCTTTGTAAGTCGTGGACTGCCCTTATTGCAAGGAAGAAACATTTAACTGCTTAGATTGGAAGACTGCCTGGACCTTCATGCAAAGTTTTATCTTCTACTTTCAACCCTGACCAAGCCTCTCTCACTTTGGATGGCCACTTCCAGCTTTGACCTTCTGAACATAATTCAGAATCTATGAATAGGGATGGAGAAAAAAGCTTTATTTTTAGAAGGAGATCCTTTGTGACACGAGGAAAAGGAAGCTTAAGCTGAATTTCCGCCATTTTTATTTTTTTTACTCAGGGCCCATCGTGTTTGAACTCTGACCGCTGTCTCTGGGGAATTGCAAAACAAACCAAAAAAAAAAAAAATCCCAAACCCAAAGCAGCTAGGGAATTTTCCAAGGGATTTTTCACCTTGGACTTTTGACGGGTAATTTCTTCCCTTTATGGTAAGTAGCAAACAGCTTCTCGAGCACAGAATATTTTTCAGCAGCCAAAATTGAACACCCAGCACACTTAAAGCCTCAGTAGTTCCACAAGTGTAGCTAAGATTTTGGTATCAAGGAATTTGTACACCACACACCAGTGCAATTCAGGATTTGTAAAAGTACGGTCATGTCAAATCTTATACGGCCCTGCCAAACGCATCTTTTAACGCCATGCTTACAAAGCAAGAATCTAAACATGAATGCTAAGTTTCCAAGAAACTTGGAAAAACGTTTTGGAATTAGACCTCATCTCTCCATCCAAACATCCAACAGCTAGTGTAAATCTCTGCAGGAGCTGATACAATAAAAACATGTCATGAATTGCATTATTTTTCTTGGATTTTTTTAAATGATCTCATCGGAGAAAATAAATGACATAATGGATCAAATCCCAGTCACATCAAGCAGCCAGAAGTGTTGCAATGCCAGTCCAAACTAAAATATGCTAATGCTAATAAAGTGATTAGCCCTAAGAAATAGGCATTTTTGCCCCTTACAGAGCATGCTAAAATTAGCATGGCTTCATTTATCTTCCCTTAGTTTCACCAAATGGTAGCATCTGGCCATCTTAGTTAGATCTTGGAAGTTAAGCCGAATTGGGCTAAGAATATGTTCTATTCCCTAATTTGGCAACTCAAATTTTTAACTCATACTTAAAAAAATGAACTGCCTAATACTAAAAATGGCAGATGGCATTGTCCTTCCTCAAGCTGATGAACTGCTGAAGTTGCGCAATGCTTTCAGGAACCTCTGAAAACCGGTTCTACAGTGGTACCTCAGTACTCATCCTTTATTGATTCTGGGAGGCGCGTATCAAAAACAATGAGTACCAAACACATTTTTCCCATAAGGAGTAATGTAGTGAGTCACAAGGCAGCTGACACTGACAAGTTGTAACTTGTGGTGTTGAGTATCAAACAAATGATGAGTACCGGGACAAAATTTTGACATCGAAATGTGTTGAGTACCACATCCGATGAGTTTCAAAGCAGTTGAGTACCAAGGTACCACTGTACATTAAAAAATGTTTGGCTTCAGAGGTTCCTGAAAGCATTGCGCAACTTCAGCGGTTCATCGGCTTGAGGAAGGACAATTTTGTCCACTTTTAGTAATAGGTACTCCACCCATATCTAAAGGTTGTCTTTAATCTGAACAGCCCCTTAATCCTTCTTCAGAACTCAAGAAGCTTCTTGGATGAGAAGTGAAATGTCTTCAAGGAAAAATAAAAGTCCAGTTGCCTTTTGAAAAAGCATTTTTGGGACAATCATGACCTGGATGACTGAGAATTTCCATAGACCTTAGGGACTGCCTAGGTGAAATCTGAAAGAAATGATAAGCCATTTCCATATTAGTAGCAGGAACATGTCCATGTAGTGACCAACAGTTGATTAAAAAAAATCCCCTTAAAAATCCAGGTGGGGCAGGAAATGTGTTGTGTATCAAAGGAAGTACGATATGGCTCAGAATCATGGATTTCACTTGCCTTCTTATCAGCTCTGTGATATTATTCTAAGATATCCCAGTTGCAACACAGTCTTTGTAAAGAACCATTACCAATTAAGAAAGCCATTTGTTTCAATTTTCAATCGATCTGCATCCTCACCTCTGCACTACAGTATTCTAGAGACCAAAACAAGAACATACGGAGATATAAAAAAAAAGTCCAATTGCTATTAAGTTCCTTGAATTTCACCTTCTCATTTACAAAAGTGAAAAAAAAAATGTTAACTCCTGATATGGAAGTGTTTGTGGAGAAATATTCTGGGGAGGAAAACGTATTATAGCCATTAGAGTTTACAGCTAGATTAAAAATAATGCTTATTGATTAATACATTAATGGAGAAAAAAAGCAAACAAAAGACCAAATAACCACTTGAGAGCAAGTCAGCTGCATAAATCACAATCTGTTTTTAACAGATGGTTCTTATTAACACGTTTTCAAGCAAAAACAAGATTAACATAAAACAAAAATAAACATGAACAATTTGCCCATGCACAAAAACAAAAGGAGATAAATGACACAACGAGATACATTAAAAAGCAAACAAAAAACTGTAATCGCAACTATATCCCAAGCTCTTGTAACATTAAATAAACAAAAACAAAGCTTTCAACATTGACAAGGAAAAAGATGTGGTGTTTTCTAATTAAATGAATCAATAATTTTCTAAAAACAAAATGCTAAAAAAAAATCGCTTAGCCATTATGACTGAAAGCTAGCTTGTTTCAAGTCAATCTAAGTTCAAACTTCATGCTAGTAATCACTCCAAACAAGTAGACTTATTTTAATCAGCCTTTAATGTTAGCACTCAAAGCATGGTATAACAATCCAAAGATGAACAATAATTTAAATAATGTAATATGGATTTACTCCAAGATCAATCATCATCTGGTAAACAGGATCCAACCAATACTTAATTATAGGTTATTGACAGATACTTAATGATGAAGGAAGATAGCACCTTTGCAAATGAAAACAAAGTTAAGATAAGCAAGGAAGAGGAAGTCCTACAATAATTCAATGACACCGAGTAAAATGCAGCTGAACTAGGTCAAAGGCTTTACATGACTTGGCAGAACGT